TCTCCCACACCCCAGTCTCGCCCCCTCCCCGGGATCTGCCGTTCCCCGTGCCCTGGGCGCCCCCCGGCAGCCCTGCTCCCATCCCCCCCGGGCCGACGCCGTTTCCAGAGACACCCGGGGCCACACGGGCCCTCTGGTGCCTCAGGTCCTTGCCCTACACATCCAGGCCTCGCTGCTCACTCGCCCTCGTCCCCGCTTTGCAGAACGGGCTCCAGAATCCCTCCCCCCCCAGCGGATCCAGCAGCCCACCGTGGCTCTGCCCCTGTTACCTGTCCTGCCCTGCCCGTGACCTTTTGTCCCTAGAGATGTCACAGAATGACACGACCAAGATTATAGTCACCATCTGCCTAGGGCTTACGCTCCTGCCCACCTTTAAATGGTTGTTAAACCAGTGATTCCTACTGTCATTCAGCCTTTCTGAAGGAATCTTCCCCACAGCCATTCTGTTAACTCCTCCAAACTCCCCACCCTTTCCTTTCACTCCAGACTGCTGAAGGAAGACTAGACAAAGAAAACACAGATTACAAGAAAATTCTTAAATAGAAATGTCAGTGTGGGGAATTGTTTCAGAAAATCATCTAGGAATCCTTGCTGTCTTGGCTAAATGCACTGAGTCAAGTAACAGCCTGAATATTTGACACCAGGGAGCAGTACAGCTTTGTCTGGCATATTTGACTTCTGAAGAATTTGGATTCCCCCTCCACAAATAGGACAAGGTAATTAGATCCTATGTGCAGTGTAAGCCAGTGTAATCTGGAATCTCTTTTTACAAGTGTCAGGGGAATATGAAATATGTTCACCAGACATATTTACATGTGGAAGAAAAGACAAAAATGTGTAAACTGTGTAGATGGTAGCTCTTAGATATATTTTCAGCAGGCAATGAAAGAAGGTGGCAACTTTCCTCCTTTTTTTTTCTTGTTATATTCAGACATTTTGCTGGTAAGCCTGTTCTCCCTCTAAGAAAATTATTTCCTTTGTATTTAATACTTTGTTTCTTCCCCTCAGGCTTCCAGGGGGAAGGAGTGCTGGCACATTCCCCTGGGCACTGAGCTGTGGCCTTGAGCATGGGAACGCTGATGGACGTGGTGCCCCAACACACATCACAGCCTGCTGCATCCTCCGTGAGTTTCCAGGTTCCCTTTTTGTGCCTGACCTCTGTTTTGGATGCTTGGTGGGGAGGTTGGGAGGGGACACTCAGTGACATAAAGGTGTTAGTTTCAATAGGCACTCTTACTGCTGTTACTGCAGTCAGGGCCTCACAAGCCTTACAGCCTTTGTTTCTGAATCAGACTCAATTGATTTTATTTCCCCAGCCAAAATTTTATTAGCACAAGCTGAACTGTGGCCATTCATCTTTCTGTCTTTCCCAAGAGCTGAGAAGAGAAACAGTCAGAGAATATTGATGAAATGCCTTAAAATGCTTAGATGGAAGTCTTGAATAAAGGCTGGTGTGCTAATAGTGGTGGTGCTGCTGTGACAGGGGAGTGTCATCACAGCAACAGGAACTGGAGCAAGTGACAGGGCTTTGTCATGCACCTGGCCTGGAATCCCACAGGGGCAAGGACAGGGCTTGAGGTTTTGCTGGAACTGGCCGGGAGAGGGCAATGCCACCAACCAAACTGCCAGCCTACGTGTTTGTTTTGGAGGTCGCTCACACCGGGAACAGTTGATGTGGACATCATCTCCCTGTGCCCTTCACTTGGGAATCACCTTCTGGGGGAATTATGAAGCATTAGTTTCAGGAAGAGGCTGTTTCATTTGCTTCTTGCAAAGATAACATTCAAAAGCATTTATTATGGTGGTATAAATATGAAAGAAAAATATCATTGCTGTTACACAGAAGCTTAAAATTTAAGAGTGAAACATAAAGATGGGAGAAGTCACTTTTAATTTTTAAAATGTATTTTTAGCACACGTATGTACCCATGATGCATTTGTGTTACCACAATAAACAGAAGAATGGCTGGGTGTGCTCTGCTTCTAAGTCTGGCCATCAGAAATGGCCTAGTTCCTATTCTCTGCAATTCATATTGTCAAAGCAAGGCAGTTCTGTTTCAGAGATAAGAAACTCCCTGGAGAAACAAGTCTTTGATGACAAAATCTCTGATGGGAAACACACTGTGAGGAGGCCTGTGCCTGAACCTGGCAGGTATAATGAGAACACTTTGCCTTTTGCTGTGTTGGTGTCCTAGCAGGTAGAAGCTCTATAACAGGGGTATGGGACTGACCACCCACATTTCAGCCTTTCCTCCTGGCTTTTCTTAGTTGATCCTAAAAAGCAGGCAAGGTAGAGCTTCTGGCTTGAGTAGTTTCTCCAATCCAAACCAGCTTCCTCATAGTTCCCCCAGTAGGCCAAGCTGGTATTTCTGCATTCCTCAGGGATGGTCCTACTGCATCATGAGTGACACATCTGGCTTTAGGTCCTCTGACCTGTGCTCAGAAATAGGGGTAAATTTAGCAAAGGTAAGAGAAATGCTTCTTGGTACTAATAACTAGATGGGGTTGGATTTATCATTTGCTGTATTTGGTTGGCCTGGGACAAATTGCCCTTTTCTACACCACATTTGACAGTTTCATCTGTTATACAAATATAGATCTGAAAGGAAGTCCAGAACTTATTGTGTGGTTTATATGCATCCTAGTTTCACTGGGACAGAACCCTAGGCCAGCCATGGTCTGCAGGCCATTAGCAGTTTGGAGTCAGACAGGAGCTTAAGCTGGGGGGAGGAAAAGCCAGAGCACCTGAAATGAGTTTGCTCCAGGTGTAGCCCAGACCATAAACATCACACTCATTATAAAGGGGCAAGTTCTGGGGGTTGTGTGCTTTGTTTCCTCCTCTTCCAATTTCCTTTCTTTTTAAGGGTTGCTATCCCTCCCTCCTCTGTGCCTGAGGATTGCTTTCCCATTTATTGTGACTTCTGTACATTGACTGCACTGAGTATACATTTATATACTTTATATTTGCATTAGTGTTAATGTTAGATTTGCTGTTTTGGTAAATCTGTCCTCACTTCAACCCCTGGGTCTCCTCTCCTTTTCCCATCCCCCTTTCTGGCTGGGGAGGGAGCACTGTGTGAAATATAACTTTTTCTTTGATATTACTACTCAAGAATAGCATTATAAACTCCCTGAAAAAGGGTCAGGGTGTGTTTTGTGACTATTGTGTGGTGTTTTTTTAGATTAGATCACTTTCTGTCTGATGGGGAAAGCATTTGCTTAGGTTTTCAATGAAATTCTATTGAAGCTACAAAGTCATAAGCTACTCGATTGCATTGCCAAAAATGGGGATGAGTATTTATTGCTGTCTACTTAATGGCATTTTGAGTCTCAGAAATAAACTGGAGCAAGGTACCAAGTGCCAGCATTCCCAGCCTAACAAGACTTTATGCAAACCCTCACAGTGATCTGTTGTTTTGCTGAACAAATGTGACATTACAGTTAAGAAGAACATAAAGATCTCACTTTTCACTGAATTATGAAAACTAGGGAAGGCAAACACGAATATATAGTCCTAAATTTATGCCATAGAGTCATAGGAGGTCACTCTTTTTTGAATTATTTGGGCTGGTTACAAAGGGGAAATTGCATGTAGCTTGTTTAACTGTATTTTAGCTGCATCTTTGTAAGTGACAGGGTAAAATAGTAAAGTTATGTAACTGCTTTTTAATTGAGATGGTTCAATGCTTAGGCAGAAAAGTGTCCTTGTTTTTAAAGTTATCTTTCACTTAAAAATGTTTGGTGGGATATCTTGAAATCTGAAGGCACAGTCTGGTATCACTGTAGCTGCAATGTTGCTCTGTGGGCTGGCAGCCAAAGCCTCTGGTAGAAAGGGTCTTCACCTGTCCTGAGAGGTTTTCCTTTTCTTCTGGGTGTTTCCTGTAAGGTGAGATGAAGTTTGGGAGGTTGTCTGGAGATTTTTGATAATTACTTCTCGAATGAGTGCAGTTATTACTGAGTTAGAAAATTTGCTGGGGGTTGTATTTAATTCTACCTTGAAAGTTTTGGTTTTCTTCTTAAAACTTCATTGCCAGGGCAGCTAGTAGGGCTGAGTACTGTGCAAATGTGACTAGATTTGTTGTTACCTGGTTTGCAGCTTCTCGGGAGGTTGCTGACAATGCTGCTGTTCCTTGGGGCTGCAGAAGGGTTGCTGAGAGTTAGGGCTGGCCCCTCGTACAGTCCTTCCTCTGGCTTTCCTAGCCAGGCAAGGCATCTGCTGTTTGCTGTTCTTCCTTCCCTGCCCCCACGCCGTCCAGGGCTTGCTGTGTTTGGTGGGTTTGAAAATCTCTTTCAGGCAGCAGGTTTTGGAGTGAGCGGGACTGCGGGAAATGGGTTTCAGATGTTTCCCTGACTCGGTCCTGGGCCTGCATCTTGTAAGCGGAGGCGTTCCCATAGGAACCGTGTGCCATCCCTCCCGCGCCCCCGCCGCTCCCCCCGGGCATGCCCAGTGCAAGCGCCACTTTGGCTCAACTCCGTGTGCGGTAACGGGCTGCACATATGGGACTATGAATGCGGTTCCTGATGAGCTCCAACTCTTTGTCTTTGGGAGGAGGAGGAAGAGGTTGTGCCCGGAGCTGGAGGATCTGCCCTGTGTCTTCTGAGACCCTCGTCTGTCAGTGGGATCGTGCAGAATGCTCGCTTGCTTGGCCAGGGGGAATTTGCTGGATATTCTTCAGGAGGGCTTCACGGAGGTAAATGCGTGTCCCGAGTCCCGCACAGACCTTTCTGAGACAACACAGCATGCTTTTGTGCAGCACCTCTGAGCGATTATTGTCTCCCAGTGCTTTGAGGAGCAGAGAAGGAGAAAAACGTGCAAGATTTCAGGGTGGGAGAGCTGCTTGCTAACAGAAGGGTGTACTGTGCAGCTCAGCTAGGGGGCTGAAAATCAGCCACAGTGTTTTGGCGAGTTTGTGGCTGTTGTACAGATGGTGTTTTTAGCCTAGTTTGTAATCTCTTTGCAGCACTTTACTGTTGTACCAGTAAATAATGTAAACTGAGCAAGGTTATGGAGTGCAGTTTGTTTTGTGTGAGTCTGTCTGAAAGCTGCTGGGAAGCCTGTAAATCTGCTTTGTGGACAAACATTTCTTGAGAGAGGCTGACAAAGAGCAGGCTGGCTGGTCTGGCTGGTGTGTTGTGTGTGTGTGTCCCCTCACTTGTTCTGGAGGTTGAATTTCTAGGGGATAGAAATTAATTTTCATCAGGAAAATATGATTTTAAGAGTTTATTTGCTTATTCTGCTGTTAGGAAGACTAATAAATCATAAAATGTGTGAGATGTACTAAGGTATTCTAGAAATGGGAATCCTGTAGCTGCATGGGGAGTACAGATTGCTGTTGGCTTCTGCTGTTAAGGTGAGCAAAAAATTAGTTCTGTTGGACTCTGCATGGGCTCAGTCCAAGATGTCAGGGCAGCCAGTGGCTGGCTGTGAGCTGTGCAGACCATGCTGGAGCATCGTTTCCTGTCTGTCAGCTGAAAAGGAAAGAAAATTGTGTGGGCTTGTGCTGAAACCAAACTGGCTGTTTGCTGTCTCACCTGGTGGCAGGGATAGTCTCTTGGTGTGTTTTATGCTTTGGTAGAGCACACAGCTTATTTTGGCATTCAGTGGTTTCTCATTCTTGCAAAGCTCAGCCTCCACCTGATTACTCTGACCCCATACTCCATTTTTCACAGAAAATGAACATCCCTCCTGGGCTTAACAGCAGCAGTCATCATGGTGAAAACCAACTGGGTATGAAACTTGAGCCTCACAGCTTCGTGCCAGCCACAGGTCTCCTTTGATTGCTCTGTGTAACTGCATAAATACTCCACCCCCTCCTCCACAGGGTATCTTGGTCTCATTTTTAGCTAGCAAAACTATTGCTTTAGCTCAAGCTAATGCTTCCTTCACTTGAGAGCAGCAGACCCTTCTCTGGCATAAGCTAATAGTAACATATATTAATAGAACTAATAATGGGAGCAAAGAAGAATCTTGCATTGAGTGCTAGCCACACTTCCTGACTGCCTAATTTTACCCACAGACTGCTCAGCTGTGGAAAAAGTCTGTCTCCCACCATAAAGGCAGATTCACTCTCCTATGGCCCACTTGTGATCTCTCTGTCACATCACACACTTCACATTATAAAAAAAGTAAATGCAGCTTTGCAAGTGCAGAACCTATGGTACAGAGAAGTGACTTGCCAAGGATGTGCATCACATAACAGAAACAGCTGGAAATGAGCAAGAAATGCTGTAATTCTGTGCCTTCTGTTTTGATCCACCAAAGGTACTTCCTACCCCATGTGTTTGTACCAGAGCTGCTTGTTTATAGAAGTCCCTGAATGTGGAAGTGTCTCAAGGGGTCTGATCCCAGCACAGTACTCCAATGGTGGAAGGCTGGGAGTGAGTTCTTTGCAAGAAGCAAATAAAACAACCTCTTCCTAAAACTAAACTCAGTGTTTGCATATCACCAGATTCAAGATGGTTCAACTTCAACACAAGCAGTGAATTGGGGTATTGCAGGACATGCCTTGGTGATTCTCTTGATAGAACATCTTTCCTGGCCAGGTGGCTCTCGGTGGCTAGATACCTTGAAAGACAAGGCTGTACTTCCCAAATCTGTGCTTTAACATAAGTTACTAGCAGGTGTATGTGCAGATCTCAGGTGCAGCCCTACGTGTGCTTGGGGCCTGGAGTCTAGGTGTAGTTCCAGGTTCTGTAGGCATGTTGGTGGTGTGTGTTTATCTTGCACCTTTGGTCAATTGTCCATGCCTGGAAAGTTACCCCGTGCAGCCAAGGTAATGCAGGCAGGTTTCTTTTGTTCCTTTGGGTTTTTCCCTCCCTGTCCATCCTGCTGGCTCAGAGCCATGCCATCAGCCTCATTATCTCTTGTGCAGGGATAGGATGCAGCAGAGCTGCCCTTGCTGTAGCTAATGCCTGTTCTGCTTCACAGATCATCTTTTAGATTGATGCTTTCTCCATGGTGAACATAATCAGATTGCTAAACAGGCCCTGTAAATTGCATGCTCAGGCCAGTGCATTCCCATTCCCTTTCAGAGTCCCTGCCCACAGTATGTTGTGGTCAGTGTCACCTGCAGATGTCTAAAGAGAGATGACTTGTGTTAATGTTGAAATGCAGCAAACTCCCCTGTGAGCATCATGCAGCTCCTGTCCCTCTCTCACTAATGGACTACCCTGCCTTGAAGGTGTTTCCCTGCTGTTTATTGAGACTTTTCTTGCTCTGTGGCAGCTAAATAATTCAATCCCACAGCTGGGTGGTGGCATGGGAATGTATGGTGGCTAAAAGCAGTGCTTATAATAAAAGGAAACCATAGAGGGCAGGTTCTCCTTTGTGGTGACTCTCTCCATGTGACCTCAGCTTCTTCCCTTTCTTTGAGGAAATGCCATTGAGAGATGCACTTGTATTTCTGCCATATTTTAAAAACATGTGGGAGACACAGAAATGTGTCAGAAATGGGCCTGACAGCTCCAAGACACTAATGTGTCTGTATTTTAACAGTAGTATAACTTTTCTTCTTCAAGAAGAAAGATGATTTCCTTTGGAAATCATAATTATGTAGTTGCTTGCATGCAGTGAGTCATTTGAAACAGCTTTATTTTCCTCTCTGAGGCTGTTGAACATCAGGCTCCTCTCCAGAGAGTGAAGTGGCAGTGAACTTAAGAGCCCAAGCAGGGACTGTTTTGATACCAGGGTCTTTCCACAGCAGCAAAGTGAAATGCAAGGTCATCACTTAAGGCTCTTTCTACATGGGGAAACATGTCCAGCTCTCTCAGTAGCAGGCTGCTCATTGCCAGCTGCCTCACCCAGTGCTTCATGTCCCCACGTAGTATTTTCCCTTGAGTAGTGGGTTCTTACCTGCTGCAGATGCCACTCAGCTATCTCCTGGGTTTCTCACACATACAGCCTTTCTCTCTCACTCTTAAGGTTTGCTGAAACTTTTGGTGGACTTCAGGTGCTTGGAATTCTTGCCATGTGAAATAACCTGGGATTGATTTTTGGCTTGCTTTTCTGGTTGAAGTAATTCTCTGGCAGCATAGACTTGCTACTGTCTTGTTTGGATAGCTGTTCCCCTTGGTGTCCCATTCATGATGTGTGATAAAAATGTCTCTGCTGCTGTGATCTTAGCAGAAGAAACTTGTGCTCACCCTCTCCTTGCAATTAGTGCTATTTATAGCTAATAGGATTCATTATGAGGAGAGCTGTTTTGACCCCTGTCTCCCTTGTCCAGTTCAGCCCATTAGGACCAGCCCATAGCTAAATGCTCCCTGTAGTACTGAACCCCTCAGAGCCTGGGTTCCAGTGAATACATGAAGTTTTTTAGAGGTGTGGTGGTTTTCCACACAGCAGGGCCAAGATCAGCTTTGTTCTGGTAGAAGTCTGCTAGCATCTTTCATCTAGTGGACACTCTTAAAGCCACAGGATGGTCAGGCACACTAGTTTAAGCCTGGGTCAGAGTAAAAAAGGGTGGGATCTGAAGAACCACCTGAGCCTTGTCAGGCTGCCTGTCTGCTCCCCAAGAGAGGGGGCAGTGGCTGCATTGTAGTTCTGCTAAGCACAGACATTAGACAAGACAGCTGGGGCTTCCCACACCTGGGGTTACATGGACATGCACTGTAGCAGCCAGGGGCTTGCTCTAGCAGGAATTCTTATCCATTTTCCCAAAGCCCTTCTGCCTGGCTAGCAATAGCACTGCCAGCAAGAGGAGGATGTATTTGCTGTTATATAGGATTAGGGGTTGAGCAGTGACAATTCAATCCCTGCCTGAGGTTCAGTGTATGTCTAAGCCAGGCTGTTACTGCATTGCACAGTGGTTGCTGTCCTTTGGCACAGCATATTACAGAGCATTTGCACAGCAGCAGTCAGAGGTTTGTTGTTATCAAAGTGTTCTACAAGGAATGTAAAAGTAAGTACAACTTTTTTATAGCTGGAAATTGAGGTATGGTGAGGTAAAGCAGGCTGCTACATTTGCAGCAAGTCACTGGCCGAGTGAGGAACACTCTCTGTCCAAAATGTGCCTTTTGTGCCCTTCATTCTGGTTTGGGCAACCTCACTGGGTGATCCTTCCCCTTCTTTTCCACATAGGAGAAGTTCTTGCCTGAAAAAAGTGCTGTTCAGTCATGGTGCATGCTCAGTTTCTTCACAAAGCTTCATTTCCCTGTCTGCACAGGGCTGGTGACTACATTCTGCTAAATAAGGAACAATGCTTCTTTTCTTTCCTGAAGCATCAGGGAATGTCTCAGTGCAACTTGTTTTGACAGACCTTAGACTTCGTGTCAGTCTAGTGGAACCATTTGATAATTCAGGGTGAATCATGTGCTCCAAAGTACTGGCAGTTGACAGTAAAAGATCTCTTGTGGCTCAGATTTTTGCCAGTATGCTTGCCTAGAAACACTGCCTGTGTGAGAAGAGCCTCAAAGTACCAGACTGGAGAAAATGCAGAGGCACTAAAACTAAAATCTTGCAGAAATGCCAGAAATGAGTTCTAAAGCAGTAACCTGGCTTTGAATGGCACTGACATTTTGGGGTGTGGATGTCTGGCTGTTGATTTGCAGGAAAACATCCTAGCAAGATTCATTTTACATGACTTTCTATCTGGTGGAGTTCTGGAGTATTTTGCTGTCTGCAATGATATTAAATTTAAGGGTCAGATACCATCTTCAGATTTTTTAACATAAAAAGTGTGCATGGAACTGT